TAGTGTCTGGTAGGGGAACCCGGGTCTGCCCACTATTCCAAGTTCCAGCCCAGGGAACCTATGCCTAGCAACCTAGGTATACTCATTGTCCGTACAGGTTGCTGCTTCTCTGGGCTCCGTCCTACCCCACCTCTCTATCTCCTTAAGAACATAAGAACAAGAACATAAGAATGGCTATACTGGGTCAGACCAAAGGTCCATTCAGCCCAGTATCCTGTCCACCGACAGTGGCCAATGCCAGGTGCCCCAGAGGGAGTGAACCTAACAAGTAATGAATAAGTGATCTCTCTCCTGCCATCTATCACCACCCTCTGATAAACAGAGGCTAGAGACACCACTGCTTACCCATCCTGGCTAATAGCCATTAATGGACATAACCTCTATGAATTTATCCAGTTCTCTTTTAAACGCTGTTATAGTCCTAGCCTTCACAACCTCCTCAGGCAAGAAGTTCCACAAGTTGACTGTGTGCTGTGTGAAGAATAACTTCCTTTTATTTATTTTAAAAAATTGTTTGTTTCCTTGCCCTAACTCTGGGTTTACCACCAGGGTTTCCTCTGCTCTGGTTCACCCCCTAAGCATCTCGTCACAGACCCCAAAGTCTTTCTTTCCTCTGGATTTCCTTCTTGACCCTGGCCAACTCCCTTTCTGTCCAGAGAGTGACTGCAGACCTCATCCCTGCAACTCCTTTCCTGCTCTTACTTCCTGGCTTTATAATCCTCTCCTAACTGGGTTTCATCTGCAATTAGTTCTTATCAATCCTTGGCTCTTCTCCAGATGCAGTAGGTAAAGTTACTGACTCCTGTAGGCCCGCATTACTTGCTCAGGGTTTGTGTGGATGGATACCTCATCACACAAGTTTACATAAAGTCATATACAGTGAAATATTTTGATGGATAAACCTCAAAAGGTTCATACATTCAATTAAGCATGAACAAGTTTAGATGATTAGCTGGAGTTTACATAGGATAGCTTATCCATCTCAGACTGATGGCCTGGTGCCATCAGGTGTCTCTAAGATTACTAGTAATTTCTGGCTTCTTCCAGGCAGAGGTGAAAGTAAGCCAGTACGGCCCAGTATGGCGTACCAGCAAGAGCCAGTACGCCGTGCCATACGAGACCGGCTGGTGATTTAAAGGGCCTGGGGCTTCCCGCAGTGGCCGGAGCTATGGGCCCCTTAAATCGCCTCCTGAGCCCCACTGCCAGAGCCCTGGGGTAGCAGCGGCAGGGCTTGGGTGGTGATTTAAAGGGCCCGGGGCGCCGGCCGCTATGAGGAGCCCCGGGCCCTTCAAATCACTGCCCAAGCCCTTCCGCCGCTGCCCTGGGGTTCCGGCAGTGGGGCTCAGGTGGCGCTTTAAAGAGCCCGGGGCTCCGCCACTGCAGGGAGCAGCGGACCCTTTAAATCCCCGCCGGAGCCCTGCCGCTGCTGCCCCGGGGCTCCGGCAGCGGGGCTTGGATGGCGCTTTAAAGGGCCCGGGGTAGCGGCGCCAGGGCTCGGGCAGTGATTTAAAGGGCCAGGGCCCCGCCTCGTCTGGTTGAGGCCACGCCTCTTTCGGTTGAGGCCACGCACCCTGCTCAGGACTCCGGAGTACCGGTAAGTCCTTTAAGTTACTTTCACCCCTGCTTCCAGGCTGGAAATACTGAAACAAGATCCTTTTTGTGGTATTTTATCATCTTTTCAGAACAGAAATAAAAAGTACACTTTGTTAAAAATGTACTTTTTCAAAGCTCATTCAAGATTTTAGGGTCAGTTGAGTCTGAGTTGTGGACACAAAGCTCTTTTTATTTTTATTGACTCTCCCATCCATGGTTTAAATACATTCAGCCAGCAGTGTCCGTTGGATCTGTGCATGCACCTTGTAAGCCTTGTACCCATCCTCCCAAGGCCATGAAGGACAGAACAGTCCTCACCATCACTTAGTTCCTTCACTGATACAGATATCCAAGAGTAGGATTCTGTGTTCATCTGCAAGGGGGTACCATTGGCAGAATGGAGACCTGAATAGGAAGTATAGGAAGAGAAGGGATACAAAGAATTCAGGGGAACTCCACTGATATGCTGGAGATACAGTATAGGGACAATGAATTCAAACTGTGAGAAAGGAGGGATGGAAAAATGAGGGATTCAGTGGTGTGGTGGAGAGAAAATAGAGGGGCATGGAAAGGAGTGTGTGCGTGTGTGTGCGTGTGTATGCGTGTGTGTGCGTGCATGTGTAACCAACGATTAATTCAATTTAAACCAGTAGGAGCCAGGCTTAGCTGTTAAGTGAGTGCTCCCAGGCAGACCCTGTTCTGCAGCACCTACTGCTACCTTGGCCTTCAGCTAGGGAGCAGGTCCGCAGGGGCACAAACCCACTGCAGACTCACATGGAAGCAGGACCTAGAAGCCAACCTCTGTGAGTCGGACTTACCGGCCCAGGTGGTCAGCGCAGTCACTTGCTTCTCCCACACAGCGGCCTCCAGGAGACAGGTCCCAATGGATACAACCACATTGGACAGACAGAAATGGGCCCAGGGCTCAACTCCAGTGTGGGTGGGACTAGGGGTAGGGGGCATGGCTAGAAGTAGGAGGGGGTGGGGCTCAGGGCACTAGCTGGGAAAGAGGCTGGAGCTAGGTGGCAGTTGGAGCATGGGGGAGGGGCTAGGTGGCAGTTGGATCATGGGGGGAGGGGCTGGGCAGGAAGCAGCAGAGGTGATTTGTCTCAAGGCAGGTGCATAGCCAGTGTCCGTGTGGAGCCAGGGGGTGCGGAGGCTGCCGGGCTCGGCGCTGCTGCAGAGGGCTCTGCTTCTGCTCCTCAGCCCGGGTGGGGAGGGGGAGCAGGTCTGGTGATGCCAGAGTGGGGAGCAGGGCCCACTGAGAGGGAGAGGAGCTTTGGGGGAGCAGGACAGATAAAGGGCAGGTGAAGCAGAGCACAGAGGAGGTGCAGGGCGTCTGAGAGTGGAGCAGGGAAGCAAGGAAACAACCAGAATTTTGCTAAGGAGTGGGCCCAGCTTACCTGTGCAGCTGCCCCAAATTTGTGTTGTATTGTGACCTTGTGCATTATGATGGAGGCAGCTGGGCCAAATCTGTGTGGTGTTGCAACCTGCCACACTGGGATGCAATGCCACTCACCCACATTTGGTTCAGCCACCACCTGTCATGCAAACAGGGAAGGGTCTCTGCCATTGCACCACCCAGCTGCAGTCAGAGGACAAGGGGGGGGGCACCTGCTCTCTTCCATAATGTGCCCTTGCATAACAAGGAGGGGTTGTGAATGGCAAATGGGTGCCCTTGAACCAAAGGCAAAACCGGCACAAGGGAGCATAGAGAAATGTGTCCCCGAGGAGAGCACAGAGAAGGGGTAGGGGATCTCAGAAACCACTGAGGTGGGTGAGGATTCCTGTGACTCTGTAACACAGGGAAGCAGTGTGCTTCCAAGTATGGGAGGCACTGATACTAGCTCCTTTCCAGCAGAAGGTAACATGCCCTCAGGCGCAGGGGCAGGAGAGGTGTTGTCAGTGATTAAGGAAACTGTCCCAGTTGTTAGCTGGCAGAGTTTTGCAGTTGAACTAGAGATAGAACCCTTCCTAGGGAGCACAGAAAAATGTGTCTTAGGAGGGGGCCCAGAGGAGGAAACTGGGGAAGGACAGGGCCGGCTCTAGGATTTTTGCCGCCCAAAGAAAAAACAATGTTGGCCGCCCCCCCGGCCCCGCCTCAACTCCGCCCCTTCCCCAAATCCCCAGCCCTGCCTCCTCCCCCCAAGCTCTCAGGCCTGGGAGGGAGGGGGAGCAGCGGCGCGCGAAACGGCTCGGGATCTCCCCCTCCCTCCCAAGTTTGAGAGCCTGGGAGGGAGTGGGAGACTCCGAGTGGCCACGGCACGAGCGCCGCTTCTCCGCCTCCCTCCCAGGCTCTCAAGTCTGGGAGGGAGGGGGAGCAGCGGCCCGCAAAACGGCTGTTTCGCGCGCCGCGGCCGCTCGGGATCTCCCCCTCACTCCCAGGTTTGAGAGCCTGGGAGGGAGGGGGAGACTCCAAGTGGCCGCGGCGCGGGCGCCGCTTCTCCCCCTCCCTCCCAGGCTCTCAAGCCTGGGAGGGAGGGCGAGTAGCGGCGCGCGAGCGGCAGCGGAGGTGAGCTAGGGCGGCCGGGGCACATTTTTAGGGGCGGCATTCTGGCGCCGGCCATGCCGCCCCTAAAAATGTGCCGCCCCAAGCACCAGCTTGTTTTGGTGGTGCCTAGAGCCGGCCCTGGGGAAGGAATAGTGGGGGTACAGGAATGTCTCCTCACTAGTCACTTGGAGCAGGCTGCCCAGGACACTAGAAGGATGGTTGGGTCAGCATCTGTGCACCCAGACACTCAGCCTATGACCCAGGTTTTGAGAAGGAACTGTGTAACTGACCTCCTGGAGGGGAGCAGCCACACAGCTGACTTCTGAGGGACAGAGAAAGGGGTGGTGGAGGGCACCCCAATCCAGGTCCCAGTTTGTCAGGATGCTATTTCTGATAAATTTTTGGAACATAACTGTGTCTCTTTAAATCAAGATGCAGCTCCAATGCCTGTGATAACAGAGGAGCTGGGACCAGGAAATTGCCAGGTGGTAGTCTGCCAGAATACAGATGACCCAACTCACAGAGGGCGCGGTGCTTTCCCCCAGGCTGATGAGAGACCGGGAGCAGTTATGGAAAAGCTGCTGGGAAAAGGTGCATCTGATCAAAAGGTAAAAACACCTAGCCCAGAGAGCACAGATCACAGCCCTCTAGGGGGCAGGGAAGAACTCAGTGCTGGGAGTGGGAAACACAGGGTAATCCCAAAAGGGGAGCTTGATTTTCTGCATATATACAATCCTGGGGTTGGGAGACCGCTCCCCAAAGGGCTAGCCAATGTGCAGGATCCCCCTGAACCCTTATCTTGCCAGACCCTGAGATATCAAAATGCCAGAAACATGATTAAATTAAGAGCCCACACAAAAGTGAACACTGGAGGGAAAGAAAAGACTGATTACATGGGAGAGAGTCAAATGACACCATGGGTAATGAACAAACTAACCTCAAACCAGACTATCTGAACAGAGGGCATGCTCCATCCATGATAAAAAAAATTGGTATTAATGTTAAGTTTTGGGGATAAGAATTTTGGCAAGGATGTTAAACCTTATGGTAATGCTAGTTCTCAGTTAATACATGTAAACAGATTCAAAGCTTAACACAGCAGAGAAACCATAACAAACCTGGTTTGCTGTGTGTGAAAGGAGAAGCTGAAGCACATTGCCTCCTGGCCTTAATGGCTGAATGCCAAGAGAACTATAACACAAACTGCCTTCGAGCTAGTCAGTGACTAACCCTCTTGCAGTAAACTAAGGGGGGAGGTGTGACGTTCTGTACCTCGTGGGAATACCCTGCACCCCCATGTTCATCCTTATAATATGGTTGTGTGGTATCTAATGCAAAGTTTATCATGCCGGGTGTCTTCGGAAGGCTCATGATGCACTGAGCATTGTTGTCATAGTGATATTATAGTAATTGTTATAGGTTATAATTTCATGTATATAGTCATGGCTTAAAATAAGCCCAGGCAAAAACTCTCCAAGAGCATAGAGGCAGTTCACACCTCATCAGTGCATGTATGGGACAAACCCAGCCCAGCCTCACAGGAACAAAGGACGCTGGCCTAGGCAGCAACAAAAGGATCTGTTGGACTCTCAAGTGAGTCATGCCCCTTTCTTTGGTCAGTTTGGGACTGTGACGAGGTAATGCTCACTTGACTCTGAGGGGGGGGAAGCCAAGAGGGAAGAAAGAACATGATAAAAGGGAAAGATGTTTGCCATGCTCCCCTCTCTTCCATTTACATCTACACACACCACCCTCAAGCGACTGAAGCACTGATCAAAGGGGTGAGCCTGGCTGATGGGCAACCAGCCAGCCTGTGGTGAGAAGCATCTAAATTTGTAAGGGCATTGAAAATCTTAAGATCAGCTTAGAATGTGTTTTGCTTTTATTTCATTTGACCAAATCCGACTTGTTATGCTTTGACTTATAATCACTTAAAATTTATCTTTGTAGTTAATAAATCTGTTCTACCTGAAGCAGTGCGTTTGGTTTGAAGCATGTCAGAGACTCCCCTTGGGATAACAAGCCTGGTACGTATCAATTTCTTTCTTAAATTGATGAATGCATATAAGCATCAGCGTCCAGCAGGCATAACTGCAAGACAGAGGTTCCTAGGGTTGCGTCTGGGACCGGAGATATTGGCTAGTGTCATTTGGTTGCACAATCCAAGGAGCAGTTTACATGCTAGAGGCTGTGCGTGAACAAGTCAGGAGTGGGGGTTCTCACAGCAGAGCAGGGTCAGGCTGGCTCACAGAGTCAAAGATTGGAGTGACCTAGCAGGTCACCGGTCCAGATAACAACAGAGGGGAATGTCACAGAGGCCTTAAATTGTTTCATGTAATGGAAAAAGTTTGGAATTACAGAATTGGATTGAACAATCGCCCATTGAAGCCAATGTCAATGGGAGCAGGACTGAATCAAATATAAAATAACGACTACAATGGCACATCCTCATGAAGGTTTATCATGCTGTACACTCCATTTTTCAAATACCTGGTTTCATTTCCTTGATTGTGCAAATCTCCAATGTAATTTACGCAAATTATGAGCTCTGCAGTGCATTTGAGATTCCAAATTCTGCTGGGATTGTTTCTCATGAAAATAACTATGTGTGCAGGAGTCTCTTAATTGTAGATAAGATGAAATTAACATTGTTTTCTTTGGGGACTGAAGGTGGATAAAAGTACTACGCAGTTTGTTCAAAAGAAACACAAAGCCTCAATCAGTGTATTTGCCAGAGTGTAACACCAGTGAAAACAAAGCTCTTGTAATCTTTGGAACTCAAAGTGAGTTACAGTTTATATTATCATATTAATGTCCATAAATTTCAGACTAATGCTTCCTTTTGATTTAATTTTTTTCTCATGGTATCCTGCATGGAGAACCATTTTTAATATAATTTATGTCAACAGGCACCAAAGGATGTGATTTTTTTCATTTGATTTACCATGTCTGAGTTTCAAGTTAATGCTAATTTTAAGGCTATTAAACGGTGAACGTTTTCATTCAGTACAGTACAACAATTTTATATTTGATAGTATAGCAATTCTCATTCAAATTGTATCCTCAAATCTTTACAGAGTTGAAAAAATAATAGCAGAGGGAAGAGAAAAATGAAGAGGCATAGATATGACAAATACTTGAGATTATAGCAGTAAACTTCCAATAGTTACTTTCTGTACTAAGGATAGAGGAACCAAAAAAGGTTAAAAAGCTTAATTTAGATTAATGTAGGACTGGAAGGAATTTAATGGATCATCAAATCGAGTTTCCTGCTATCACAGGCAAGCCAATCCTATCGTCCCATCCATAAACTTGTCAAGATCCATCTTAAACTATGACAGGTTGTTTCCCTTCACTATTCTCCTAGTAGGAGGCTGTTATAGAACCTCACACCTCTAATGGTTAGAAACTTTTTTCTAATTTCCAGCCATTTATTCATGGCCAGTTTATAGCCATTTGTTTTTGTACCAACATTGTCCTTTAGCTTAAACAGCCCTTCTCCCACCTGAGTGTTTCCTCTCCTGATATATTTTATAGAGGTCAATCATGTCCTCTCTCAGCCTTTGGGTTTTAGCCCACGAACGCTTATGCCCAAATAAATTTGTTAGTCTCCAAGGTGCCACAAGGACTCCTCGTTGTTCTTCCTAACAGTGAGATTTATGAGAACGTGGAATGCTCTCCCAGGAGAAAGCATGGAAATCCCTCCCTTGAAACATATGAAATTAGCTGAACAAAACATTGATAAATATATACTTTTGTATGTGTATATTTGTGTATTACATATACCAGGAGAGAAAAGGAAACAATCCTGTATTGGCTGAGGTGATGAATTACATCCATCTCTAATTACTATTAATCTATGAATAACTTTTAGTATTTATTCATTCAGTTTATACAGTGCAACTATCAATAACTCTTAAGTCACAAAAAATTAGAAAAACAAAATACTCTAGTCAGATTTTTATAATTTCAAAATGACATTAAAAGGCCACCCCAATTCCAAATAAAATCTTTCATGCAAGCTAAAAGCCTCCCCTTCCTCTACGGGGGAAAAAACCTGAGTATAATCTAAAGATTTTCAGGTTGAATATCCCAGCTGATCTCAACTGCTGAGTTGCTCCTTAGGAATAGGGGATCTTTAAAATTGCCAAGATCCAAATTATAAATGGCTTTATAGATCAAAACTGAATACTTTGAATTCAGAAGTGCAAGATAATGCACTTTGGAAGGAACACCGAGAATTACTCATACACATTCATGAGTTCTAAAAAGTTCTCAGAAAAGCAAACATGATGTTAGCTTTTATTACGGAAGTGATAGAGCAGGGGTTCTCAAACTGGGGGTCGGGACCCCTCAGGGGGTCAAAAGGTTATTACAGGGGGGGTCATGAGCTGTCACCCTAAAAAACCCCGCTTTGCCTGCAGCATTTATAAAAAGTGATTTTAATTTATAAGGGGGGGTCGTACTCAGAGGCTTGCTATGCGAAAGGGGTCACCAGTACAAAAGTTTGAAAACCACTGTGATAGAGGATAATACAGAATATATTATAATGCCATTACATAAATGTATTGGATGTCCCTGCATTGAATGAGGTGTTCAATTTTAGTCCCAATTCAAAAACTATTCTGCAAGAAATGGAGAAGTCCAGAGATGGGATATAAATATGATTGGAGGCATGGATATTGCACATGAGAAGAGATGATGGGGGTGATTAAGTTTAGAGAGGTGACATAATTGCGGTATATAAAATAAATGCGAGTCTTTGGGGCACTCTTAGGCACAAGAGCAAAGGAACATCCAAAACATTTACACATTTAAAGCTTGTGCTTCCTCTGAAACATCTCCTGATACATTATGACATTGGCTATGTTTTTATTCTACCTAACTGGAGCCAGGGATGTCTCTGGTGCAAAAGTGTAACATGTGGTCCTTCCCTGTATGGTACACTAAGTAGGTGATTAGCTGGATTCAGGCTACACCTGAAGACTACTTGGAAACTGCAGCAGTCTCTGAAGTATAGCATGTTGCAGTAACTAGCTAAGGAGACAAAGGCACAAATAACACATATGCAATTGATGTGATAGAAAGGTTTATAGATTTTGAGGCCAGAAGGGATCATTGTGATCATCTAATCTAAAATCCTGTATAACACAGGCCATAGAACTTCCCCAAAATAATTCCTAGAGCAGATGTTTTAGAAAACCATCCAAACTTGATTCAAATATTGCCACAACTCTGGGTAAAAATTGTTCCAATAGTTAATTACTGTCACTGTTCAAAATATACACCTTATTTCCATTCTGAATTTGTCTAGCTTCAGCTGCCAGCCACTGGATTATGTTATACCTTTCTTTGCTAGACTGAAGAGCCCATTATTAAATACTTATAGACTGTGATCAAGTCACCCCTTAACCTTATAGCTAGCGAACAGGAGCATTTAACAGGGGAGTTTCGCGAGGGAGTTTTTCAGGTGAAGGAAGTGTGACTATGGGACCCTTGGGGTGAATTTGTGTGCTGAGCCTAGAAGCCTGCTAGGCAAGCCTGAGAGCTTATTAATAAGGCTTTGATCCCTATGCCCTTTAGCACCCATTAACCAGGGGGCAGTGCTACTAAGGGACAACAGGGGTTTAAAAAGCCAGCTTCTAAGATATGAGATGAGCTAGCAAACAGGAGCAGCTAACAGGGGAGTTTTGTGACAGAGCTGAGAGAGGGAACATGAGAGCTTGATACACCTAATTAATATTCCTAAAATTTAGAGCAATAAACAGTTCCCCACCCCCACCCACCAAAAAAAAAACAGACCCCCCCCAAAAAAGCTGCTGGAGTAAAAAGAATGCAGGCAGAATTCCAGAAGCAGAATAGGGGTTATCCAGTTTATTGAACTGAATGCAGCATGTATGATTACCTGCTTTGTGAGCAGGTGGCATGTGTGTGTGTGTGTACTAGGTACAAGGAGCTCATGGTCCTCAGAGATGTAGTATGGGCTCTTGAGATCAGAGTGGCTGAACTAGAGGAGCTAAGGGAGACTGAGGGGTACACAGATGAGACTTTTTCTGGGACACAGTAGAGTGGTCCCATTCCCAGTCTGACTGTCTCTGTGCTGTTGAGGAGGATGAATGTCTCAGGGAAGGAGAACATCAAACTGGAGTGGAGAGAAATGATCTCATAGTTGGAACCCTCCTCCCAGATGATGTCATGGAATCCTCTTGTACTGAGGATACCTCTCAGGAGGAGGGAATCCCAGTTATTTGAAAGACATGGGTAATAGTTGTAACTTCGGCCAAGTAGAACCAGCAGCAACCAGGGCTGGGTTCAATATCTAGGGGTTCCTTTATAGATAAATAAATGGAGATATCCTATCTCCTAGGACTGAAAGGTCATTGAATCCAGCCCCCTGCCTTCACTAGCAGGACTGAGTACTGATTTTACCCCACATCCCTAAGTGGCCCCCTCAAGAATTGAACTCACAACCCTTGGTTTAGCAGGCCAATGCTCAAAGCACTGAGCTATCCCTCCCCTCTGTATTCTTGTATTTGTATTCTCATTCTTGTATTTGCAAGAATACAACACAGAACTGGTTCGAGTCCCCACTCAGTAACCTGGGAAGATTACATACCACCCCTAGGCGCCTCTGAGAGGCAATACTTCCCCACTCACAAGCAGAGTCTGAGTGTAGAAAAGAAACTTTTAATAAAAGGAGGGAAGTCACCCGACATTAATTAGGGAAAATTCCACAAACAGGATTCATAATGATAAAATTGAGATCAGGACACCCACCCCAGAGTGAGTGGGGTAGTGCATTCTGCCTCACGTTCTTGAGTTCTACAACCAAAATTTCTGTGTCCCCTCACCATACTCCACTCACAGTGGTTGTTCTTGGTCAGTGAGGACTCAGAGGTGCATCTACATGAGTTCACTTCCCACTCAGGGAATAAGGCACATTGTTTGCTCCGCTATCTGAGCACTTGCTCTGCCAGCTGTGGTTCCTCTCTGCTGGCTGCCCTACCATCCATGGTTCCTCTCTGCTGGCCGCTCATTCTGCTCCCGCCTGCTTGCTGCTCCTGCTGGCTGACTGTCATTTACCTTCTGCTGCCACCTGCCTCTCTGTTGTGACCTCTGCAGGTCAATCTCTTAGTGGTTGTCACCTCTAGTGATTTTCAGCTTTTAGCCAGTTGGGCAGAAATGCTGTACCACCACGAGTGATTTCAGGTCTCATTTAAGCACTTAAAATAACAAAGGTTCCTAATGGAACCTACTTAGCACTATCTTTGAACAGGTGGGAGGAACAGATTAAATCAGACCAGGGACCCCCTTAGGGAGAGTCCACACCTCCTGGCTGGGACACCTGTCCCCACCCCTCTTACTTTCACAGGGGTCTGGCATTTGAGCTCCTGGCTCAAGGAGGTCCTTTCAGCTGAGGGTGACCCCCTCATTTCGGACAGGTTAAGCACATTTCTGTTCCCCTTTATTCATACAATAAAGATAACAACATTGATAACAACATTTCACTACCCCTGCATTCAGTACTAAAAGTTGATCACTTTGAGCAACACCACCCTATCTGCTGTATATCTTGGAAGAGTAGCTGTGTTCATGTAAATAGAGCTTGCTCCTGAGGTCCCCCCACCACACTTAGCTGTCATGGGAGAGCTCATGCAGACCCTGCTTACATAGGAATGGTGGATTTGATCATTAGAAATATAAATAGTTGCATTTGTGATGACTGGAAGAACCACATAATGAATTGCCTGCTGGGTATGAAGCTCTCGAGACATCTAAACAGACTTATGTGCAGTGCTGGGGAGAAGGCAGTGGTTGTGGTATCAATGACACAGGGAAAGGTAGGATAGAGCTCCCGGAGGACAAATTCAGGCTGCTAGGTAAGAGATTGAAGTCCATGATTATGTTCTTTTGTTCTCTTTGTTAAGGATATCAATCACTATATGGTCAGACTTAAAGCTGAGTAACTACATCATCTAGATCCAATGAAACAGGTGTATTGCTAATTGTCATCAACATAGTACTTAAACCATCTCATTTTCTCCCCAGCGGCTTCATATATACATAAGAACATCAGAACAGCCATACTGGGTCAGATCAAAGGTCCATCTAGACCAGTATCCTGCCTTCCGACAGCGGCCAATGTCAGATGCCCTGGAGAGAATGAACAGAAAAGGTAATAATCAAGTGATCCATCCCATTGTCCATTCCCAGCTTCTGCAAACAAAGGCTAGGGACACCATCCCTGCCCATCCTTGCTAAATATATTTGTAGGCACCCTTTATTAGAGGGGCCTCTGAACTTTTTTTTAGGAGTGTTACAAGGGAAAAGCCTGTGTGCTGCAATCTAGCCTTAGAGACTACAACTCCCATGATAGTTCCTCATGCAGGGAGAGCAGGTGGTGGACTCCATTTTGGGAAAAAGGAGTGAGATTGCTGTTGTGGAGCTCTGTCCATAGTAGGATCTGCTGCTAGGAAGCTAGAAGCTGCTGCTGAGATCCTGCAGGGGCTTTGATCGAACAGGGATCCTCAGAGGCTGTTGGTGGCTTCACTGGAGTCAGAGCAGAGACAATCACTGAGCGTACAGCTGACTGAGGTGGGCTTGCAGTGAGGGAACTCTGAGTAACCCCCACTGTTGTTTGGGAAAGTACTTGCAAGGGAAGGGGCACAGCAGAAAGTCTGAGTCTGAGGAGAGGCAGAGTGATCTTCCCACCGAACCAGGGCCCAGAGCTGCTGGTATTTGATGGGGCCAGCTCCAATCATCAGAGGGGTTATTCTGCTTTTTGCCTTGCCTGGACTGATACTGAGAATGAACGGAGTGCTGTCTCCAGCTTCAGGTCTTCAAGTGCGCACACGCAAGCGTTTAGGACTCTGAGATCCAGAGGAGTGTCCACTGCGGGGTGCGGTGAATGGTAGCAGTGTAAATGCCAGTTCCATGAGTTTCATTTATCACTGTATATTATATTTGTTAATTGATTTTATTCAACTGCCCCTGTGGATTTAAATTAGTAGTGACATTTAATCTTAGTCTGTTATGCCTGTTTCTTAAATTGTTAAGTGAGTGTTTGCTCTAATTTAAGTATATTGGATGTATATTATTTATAATTGGTATTTGAGTTAGACCCATGCCACAGGTTATTATTATTACTATTTGAAGGGGTTTATTGCTGGAGGTTCCCAAGGCACACCGTTGAATGTGTACAGGGGCCAGCCAGGTGGAAGCACCGCCAATTTTAAATTCCTTAGGTGGAAAGGGACTGCAGCAGAGGGGTGGATAGAGGATTCCCACTTATCCAACATCACCACTGGGATATTCAGGATCTCCTTTAATGTCAGCAACATCAGGTGTCCAGGCACAAAGATGAGTGTTGCCTGCTCCCGAGTAACCCAGGGAAGAAAGGAGGGTTGCACATTGTTTGGGATGGAAGGCACTGAAAGTTAACTGAAATTGCATGAGGGGGACTTAGCTATAAGAATATATCCAATATGTTATTTTATCAACAAAGATCTTCAGCACATCATTCATGACCCTACAATCTTTTTTGTAATAATTAGGATTGTTTCCTGATTTTGTGTTTTTTCATTCTAGATGTTTTCAACAATCAGACTATAAATAACTGCAACAGCAACTCTTCTGCTAAAGACTTTTATCTCATTGGATTTCCTGCACTTCAAGATTTCCAGATCCCTCTTTTCCTTGTATTTTTGTTATTCTACCTGCTAATACTAATTGGGAATATCATTATTATAGCTGTAGTTGTGGTCGATCAAACACTTCACAAACCCATGTACTTTTTCCTAGCTAATCTCTCTGCCTTAGATATACTGCTTACAACTACTACCATACCCAAAATGTTGGCAATGTTTCTGGTCAATGCCAAAACTATTTCTTTTCATGTCTGCTTTCTGCAGATGTATTGTTTTCATGGTCTCGCAGTGACTGAATCGCTGCTTCTTGTAGTCATGTCTTATGATCGTTATGAAGCAATTTGTAATCCTTTGCATTACCCAGTTAAAATGACAAAGAGAGTAAACATTCAACTGGCAGCATGTGCTTGGATAACTGCATTGTTAATACCAATACCTGTAGTCTTCCAGACTTCTCAGTTAAGATTTGGTGAAACAACCACAGTTTACCATTGCTTTTGTGATCACTTGGCAGTTGTGCAAGCAGCATGTTCAGATTTCAGTGCCTCTTTTCAGACTTTCTTGGGGTTTTCCATTGCCATGACTGTTTCATTTGTGCCGCTTATGCTTGTGACCCTATCATATGTTCACATCATTATCTCCATATTAAAGATCAACTCTAAAGTAGGTCGCAGTAAGGCATTTTCTACTTGCACTTCCCATTTGATTGTGGTTGGCACTTACTATTCATCCATTGCCCTGGCATATATTTCCTACAGAACAGACATGCCCATTGATATCCATGTAATGAGCAATGTTATTTTTGCTATTTTAACTCCTTTGTTAAATCCTCTCATTTATACTTTGCGAAACAAGGAAGTAAAATGTACAGTAAAAAAGATTGTTTTTCTGAAGATCTTTCCTCCTTCTAAAAACTGTAATCTAATGAGGAAAAATTAGCTCCAACACAGAAGTTTCACACAGAACCTATACATCACATCAACCCCCTGTAAAGGAGTTAAGTAGGGCTTAAATCAGTGGTTGTCAAACTGCAGGTCACGGCCCAATACTGGATCGCAGAATGTAAGGCACTGGGTCACAGCAGCTCTGGTCAGCACCGCCAACCGGGCCGTTAAAAGTCCTGTCGGCGGTGCTGCCCGGCTAAAGCAGGCTAATTCCTACCTGCTCTGACACCGCACTGTGCCCCGGAATTGGCCAGCAGCAGATCTGGTTCCTAGGTGGGGGGGCCCGGGGCCCTGTGTGCTGCCCCAAGCACTGGCTCCGCACTCCCATTGGCCACTGTGGGGGGGCGATGCCTGTGGGCGAGAGACACGTGGAGCTGCTTGCGCGCCTCTGCCTAGGAGCCAGACCTGCTGCTGGCCGCTTTCAGGGCACAGCACGGTCTGTGGTAATAGGACAAGCAGGAAGCGTGCCTTAGCACTCTCACTGTGCCGCTGACCAGGAGCAACCTGAGGTAAGCCCGCACCCCAGCCCCACACCCCAATCCCCTGCCCCAGACCTGAGCCACTCCAACCTGGCATTTAATTACCTGGTCATCATGTTTACCCTTTTTAAATATTGGCACAACACTACCTTTCTCCTAGTCTTCTGGAACTTCCTCGATGTTCCAAGACTTATTAGAAATCAACCTTAACAGCCCAGCAAGCTCCTCAGCCAGCTCATTTAAAACTTTTGGATGGAAGTTATCCAGACCTGCTGGTCTGAAAATATCTAACTTGGGTATCCACTGTTTAACATCCTCCTGAGATTCTAGTGGAGTGCAAACAATATTTCCTATGATATGATTACATCATCCGTTTTATCTGTTGCTTTTTTTACCCAAGTACAGGACAAAAATATTTTTGAACACTTCTGCCTTTTCTACATTATTATTGATAATTCTACCATTTCCATCTAGTAATGGATCAATGCTATGATTAACATTCTTTTTGTTGCTAATATACTTATACAACTCTTTCTTGTTGTCCTTAATTCTGCTGGCCATACATTTCTGCTTGTGTCCATTTGCTTTCCTTATCAATGTACCAAAATTTCTAGCTTCTGATTTATATTCATTATTTCCAACTTTCCCTTTCTTCCATTTGTTATATATTATTTTTTATTTTTACAGCTGCCTTCACTTCCTCTCTAAAATAGATCAAGGGAAAAGGCAGTATTGGTTTAAAAAACAATCATGGGATTGTGGCTTTGGGGGTGACTAGCAAAGTGTTCTTAAACAGTTCCCAAATATCATTCACATTTTCATGAGTTGGCTCAAATTGTTTTCTGCTTGGTGAAACTGGCCCTGTTAAAGCATCAAATATATACATCACTGCTCGGGACTTTATTCTGTTTGCACATTATAAATGTGACCAAGTCATGATCTCTTGTACCTAATTTACCATTAAGTTTGAGTTCTGTGATCAGTTCCTTTTTATTTGTCAAGATGAGGTCTAATAAAAAATTCTCCCATGCTGGATGCAACACTCTTTAACTTAGGAAATGGTCATCTGAAAACAGGTCCTCCTTACTTAATTGACCTGCTCCCTGTGTATATCCAGCCACAGCAGCAGATGTTACTGACCAAAATAAGTTTTTATTCTGTGGCCCTTCATAGCCCAGCAGAAACATCGTCATAATGAGAAATCACGCATCAGCAGAACTGTGAACGAAGTTTTGATTACACATTTTAATTGTTGCTTGTACTTGAGCAAAGATCTCAGCTTGGCATTCAGATGCCATGGGAATTTATTGTGCTGGCATTCTGACTGAGCATGTTTAATCTGGAGTCACTGAGACAGATGCAAAGAATTAATTTTGCTTCTCTGTAACAGCCTCATCTTCGCTGAATACCTCTTTAGCACCTCAATCATCCAGTGGCCCCACTGATGTTTTGGCATGCTTCCTGCTTCTGATGTACTTAGAAATTATTTTACTGTTCATTTCTGTCTCTTTTTCTAGTTGCTCTTCAAATTCTTTTTTGGCCTGCCTAATTAAGAATATAAGAACATAAGAATGGCCATTCTGACTCAGACCAATGGTCCATCTAGCCCAGTATCCTGTCTTCCAAGAGTGGCCAATGGCAGATGTTTCAGAGGGAATGAACAGAACAGGCAATCCTTTAGTGATGTCTCCTGTCATCTACTCCCAGCTTCTGCTAATCAAAAGTTAGGGACACTCAGAGCACAGGGTTGCATCCCTGACCAGCTTGGCTAATAGCCATTGATGGACCTATCCTCCATGAACTTATCTAGATCTTTTTTGAACACCATTATACTTTTGGCCTTCACAACACCCCCTGGCAACGAGTTCTACTGGGCACAGGGTTTGGGGCTCCCTAATGGAGCTACTTGCTGGGTTGGGACCTAAGTGAATAAAGTTATACTGGAAATTTTAGAACTAAATCCTTGTAAGTACTAAGAGTGAAGAATGCATTGCAAGATGCTACACATGCAGACACGGTTGTAGAAAAATTGTGTAATGATCTATGAAATTTGAAAACCAGTATGTGAGCATGAAATGCGATATCCCAAAGCACTCACATAAGGGACAGAGTTAAGGTTGTGTATGCAACTGGCTGAGGCTTGGAGGCATCTGGATTTTTTATTGTCATTTATTTATTTATAACTCAAGTAATCCTGGACTGTGTGATGATTTATATTTTAATTTTGTAGTAGTTTTCTAAGGGAGAAGATAGATGAATGATGAGACTTTTATTATTAATCTAAAGAAATAAATAAAATGTCTTGACTTGAGTACTGTTGGGAAAGTTAGCATGAGTGACTCCATTTTGGTTTGGGCCCGCCATTAGCTAGAAGCGAGCACATCATGTACTGGAAAATGGGGAAGGGGAGAAAGGAGCATCTGGAAACAGTAAAAGGAAGGAATGCCAGCTAATTCAGACAATATGGCCTTGAGGAGGAGGAGGAGAGGGGGGCTTGTGCATGAGCTCGGGGGCTTGTAACGCTAGCCAGCACGAGGGAGATGCTTAGTTAGGATAGGTGAGAGACAAGTAAACGGCTTATTCATTGGCCAAAAGTTATGATGCACGAGGGTAGCATGCACTGCTAAAAGGTATATAATCTTTGTGTAACCGACTGTCTGGGTCCCCTCCTGATTAGCAGGGGGGCACCTCACTCGAGTGAAATAAACCTATTATCTCTGTAATACTCTGCATTCGCGGACTTTATTCCTGTGCCTCAGCCTAGACTCGAACTGCGTGTGACTTATAGGTGTAATTCGCAACAGTACTTAACCGTATACCTTTAAGGTCTCTTACGGACTTTTAAAAAATGTTTTGGCATAGTAATACATATCATATGGAAACTGGTAGATTTAGAAAATAATGTTTCCAAATCAGTCAGTAGCATATAATTCCATAGTGCCTGGGAGAGGGTCTTTGTCAAAGTAAAACTGGAAATGTGTCTTGTATAAAGTTTTGCTTCTTGAAAAATGGTTCCAAAGGAACATGGCTGCTTAGAACTCTGAATGCCAGATTCTGAATGACTATGAGCAGGATATATGTGGTAACATAAAGTTTGCCAGTTAAATAGACTACACTTTAATCATTTTATTATTTTGGTGGGGTTTTTTTTAGAAAAGCCTGAAGAAGAAAAGCAGTATTCAGTTCAAAAATTAGAGGGAAGCTATTTGTTTAATAAAACACAGGATACTGGAAGTTTGTAAAAGCAGAGTTTTTCTTATCAGTTCAGCCATTGAAAGAACATATGGAACCCTGCTGAGATAGTGGTGTGTCAAAACTCCCAATTTATGTGATTCATGGACAATTTCCTTTTTTTTTAACTGTTAGTTTATTTTGTTCTGTTCCACTTTGAATAAATTTGAATAAACAGGTTTTGGTCTTATTTATGGTTCTCTTTCTGTATTCAGATAAATGTCTCCTAAGAACTTCATAGAATTTCATCCTACTTCTAAGTTGGTCCTGTCCTCTGTATCCCTTGGGGGAGAATTGTATGCCCCCTTCTCTGTTTTTCCTGCATTCTGCCATATATTTCATGTTATAGTAGTCTTGGATGATGACCCAGCATACTGGCCCACTTAACCCATGCAACCCATCTATGCGAAGAGGCAATTCGCTTTTGGAACTTTTGCATAACAAATTTGATTAATCTCAGAGCTGCTCACCTTCCAGGACAGCAGACAGGGCCAGATCCATCATCCAGCTCTGTGGGCCTCCCAAAGTGGAACAATGATCAACAAAAAATGCCATCAGCTTTGCTCCCGGGGAGGTCGAGAGATGCTTTTCTGCTTCTTTGTATGGACCCCTCAACCTGTATGCCTTCCCTCCAACTGTCTTTCTATCCAGGGTCTTTGTTAGGGGGCTTTCCCTTCACCCTCTCCCCTGGTTCTTGTCACGCAGACAGAAAGCAGAAGACCAGAAGTCCAAAGTGCAGGCAATGTAATGTTTATTGGGGTTAGTTTCAAGCAGGCATAGCCATAGCTCTGCATGCCAGCAGAGTCTGTTTCCCAGTGTTCTGTTCCCAGCTCTGACACTGCAGAGCCTTTACGCATATCACCGTTTCCTATTGCCCCCTCCTCCTTCATAGCAGGCCCAAATATACCTGCAGTGCATGCCCCTGGTCCCACCCTTTACAATTTATGCTCATATCCCGTGTTGGAGGGTCATCAGTCTGGGGGCATTCTCCAACCTCTTTTTTATCCTATGGGAGGGGTAACAAGTGAGGTTCTGTTCTGGTCAGGGACAGGCTTTCTTTGTCTTTTAGTGTTTCTTATGCCTCTCCCCAACCCCTTCACGGCTCCTAACTGGTTGCTTGGCCTTGGCTTGAGAAAGGAGCCAGGCATGCTTCCAGTGTATGCTCACATATTAAACTCCCCCAAGACCCTGTAACACTTTTAACACCATCTCTTATCTCTTTTCACCTCATCTGCTTGTGGGCAGATGTAACACACAGTGTCGTTGTTCACACATATTAGTAAGGATATAAGAGTATCAAAAAGCAAACCCAAAATTCTATGTCAGGCTACCGTAAGAAGCAGGCCTATATACTAACAGTCTTGTTCAAAGTCAATGAAGACCATGCTCATATCATCCTTATAGCACTGGCATGACCTCGTCAGCCCTTGTTCTCAAACCTACTGGCCTTGTCAATCAAGCCTCCTCTATCTCTCCTGCTGGATCCAGGTGTGATTTCTCAGGAGCGTGGTTGCCTACTCCATCCCAGCCTGTGAGCTCTCTACCTAACAGCATGGAGGACTCATGGTTAACACCTTTGGAGAAGTCCTCTTCTAAAGATGTTCAGAAAGTGCATCTGAATAGTTGAAAACTCTCATCTAGGGGTACTTACCTGGCTAAGTCGGTGGAGGGGAGGGGGTGGGGCTGGCCCTGTGGCAGTAGGAGGGGGCGGGGCTGGCACTGAGGCAAAAGGAGCAGAGGGGGCAGGGCGGGGCCTGAGGCAGGTGGAGGGGGGGGGGGGGGGGGGGGGGGGGGCTGGCCCGAGGGGAGGGGGGGGGGGGGGGGGCTGGCACTGAGGCAAAAGGAGCAGAGGGGGCAGGGCTGGGCCTGAGGCAGTTGGAGGGAGGGGAGGGGAGGGGTAGTGGGCCTGAGGCAGTTGGAGCAGAGGGGGCAGGGCTGGGCCTGAGGCAGTTGGAGGGAGAGGAGGGAAGGGGTAGTGGCCTGAGGCAGTTGGAGCAGAGCTGGCACTAGGGCAGTTTAGCAGAGGGGGTGGGGCTGAGGCAGTTGGAGGGAGGGGAGGGGCTGGGGCTGGCACTGAGGCAATAGGAGCAGAGGGGGCGGGGGCTGGGCCTGAGGCAGTTGGAGTGGAGCAGAGCTGGCACTAGGGCAGTTGGAGGGGAAGGGGTGGGGCTGGCCCTGAGGTAGTTGGAGGGGAGGGGAGGGGAGGGGAGGGGGCTGGGCTTGAGGCAGTAGGGCTGGAGCAGAGCTGGCACTAGGGCAGTTTAGCAGAGGGGGTGGGGCTGGGCTGGCACTGAAACAATAAGAGCAGAGGGGGCGGGGCTGGCCCTGAGGCAGTTAGAGGGGAGGGGGCTGGCACTAGGGCAGTTGGAGGGGGTGAGGCTGGCCCTGAGGCAGTTGGAGGAAGGGGAAGGGAGGGGTCGTGGGCCTGAGGCAGTTGGAGGGGCGGGGGCTGGGCCTGAGGCAGTTGGGCTGGAGCGGAGTTGGCACTAGGGCAGTTGGAGGGGGGGGCTGGCCCTGAGGCAATTGGAGGAAGGGGAGGGGGGGTGAGGGGACGTGGGCCTGAGGTAGTTGGAGCGGAGCTGGCACTAGGGCAGTTGAAGCAGGGCTGGCACTAGGGCAGTTGAGCCGAGGGGGTGGGAGACGCTGTCTCTGCTCTTGCTGCAGGTGCTTGGCTGGTGTCTGTGAGGAGCCGCGGGGATGGGGCTGCAGGTCTGGGCCCTGCTCCTGCTCCTCAACCCAGGTGAGGGGGGCAGTGAGTCTGGTGGAGATGCCAGAGCGAGTAGATATTTGGGGTCATGCTTGCAAGGCGGAGGCCATGCAGGGAAGGGGGGAGTCAGAGCAGGGCTGTGAGGGAAAACGGCCAGAACAGGAGGAGGAGCAGGACTGAGGCACAATGCAGGGAACAGGGGCTTGAGGGGAGGGGGAATATGGGGCTTGGGGGCAGCAGGGAGCACTGGGGGTAAATCAAGGAGGTGCGGGATTTGTGAAGCTGGAGCAGGGTGCACGGACAGGAGATTCAGGAGGTGCCAGAGCGGGACTAGGAGCAGGATCTGCTGAGAGCAGGTCAGGGCCCAGAACCAGGCAGGAGGCAGAAAGGGGCTGGGGGCCTGAGGATTCATGGAGGCAAACTTGGAAGGGGGCAAAGGGACTCTTTTGGGGGCAGGGGAAAGGGAGCATGGATGACCAAGGGGAGGTTCAAGGAAGGGGGAAAGGGAGGGATTAGAGCCAGGGGCAAGGGGCTGTGAGGTGTTTGGATCTTGGAGCAGGGTGGTCCTGAGCACCAGCTGGAAAGGGGCGAGCTGGAGCAGGGACAGGACTGGGTAGGAAGTGGCTGATGTGATGTCTCTCGAGGCCAGTACTTTGCTGGTGTGTGTGAGGAGCTCCTGGGGCTGCCTCCCGGGGGTTGCGGGGCCAGGCTGGTGCTGGGATTTTGCTTCTGCCCTCGGTCATCTCAGTTTAGGTGGGGAGGGGGAAGTGGTGCCTCTCTGAGGGGTGGGAGTGGCAGCATGGTGTTGTAGGGGGAAGGGAAGAGGGGCCAATTCATTGAGGCTGGAGGAGGGATAGGGAGGGGCCTGTCTGGTGGGATTCAGATGGAGGTACCGCAGGGAATGAGAAGTCAGGCCCACTGACTTTTTCCAGGGGGATGAGAAGGATTTTTGTGGGGGTATGGGCAGAACAGGGTGGGGAGCAGGGGAGAGGTGTGGAGTAGGGAGATTGGGGTCATGGCTTTGGTCAGAGGTAGTGTGGGTGTAAGGCAGGGCGCACAGAAGGCTCGAGGGGTGCTTGAACAGGGAAGGTGGTGTGGGCCTTATACAGGGTTACTATTCTGGGGAGAGCCTAGATGTGGTGGTTGTGAGGGAGATAAGGCTGCTGAGAGGGTTTGGGAATACTCCAAGTGGGGCTCAGGGGAACTGAGCATGGAGCAGGGGCCCCTTAAAGGAGCTTTTCAGGAGCTGTTGTGAGTGAGGAGCAGTGCCAGCGGAGGGGGAGTTTGTAGGGGACTGAATCAGGGGCACAGAATGAGGCTTGGCAAGTTGAATTTTGGAAGAAAGAATAGGGAGGGGATGTGGGGTTTGCTGAAGGCTTTATTTGGGGTATGGAGCAGGGAGGGCAGAGTGAGTTTCTCTGAGGGGTGGTATGGGGTATACAGGAAGGAGGAAGTAGTACAGCTTGTTGAAAGGGGATGTTAGGGGGACTGCAGGGAGACATGGAGCAGGACCTGCCAATAAGGCTTTGAGGGGCACTGAGGAGTGTGGAGCAGATCCTGCTCACGGGGCCCAGATGTACAAGCACAGGGGGAAGAGCAATGGGGCGTGCCAAGATTAGAAGAGTTCATGGTTGGGGTCTGCGTAGGGCAGGCAGGTGGAGTGAGATTCCCTGGGAGAGGCAAATTTTTGGAGCCGAGGAGCAGGGCCTGCAGAGTAGGAAGAGGGGGTTTGAGAAAAGAGAAGAGAGACTTGATTAACTGGGGACAATAGATAATGTTTCTCATTAAGTATCACAGGGATAGCCGTGTTAGTCTGGATCTGTAAAAAGCTACAAAGAGTCCTGTGGCACCTTATAGACCAACAGAAGTATTGGAGCATAAGCTTTCGTGGGTGAATACCCACTTCGTCCTGAGGAATACCCACTTTCGTATTCACCCACAAAAGTTTATGCTCCAATACTTCTGTTAGTCTCTAAGGTGCCACAGGACTCTTTGTCGGTTCTCATTGAGGAGGGCTTTGATGTGGGAGCAGTTTGGGCAGTGGAGCAGGGACCTGGGCCAGCTGATGAAAGCTTGGGTAGGTGGAGAAGGGAGGAGAGGAGTGCAGCCTGCTAAAGATGATGTGGGAGTGGCGTAGTAGGAAGGGGGTTGTGACTGTGGAGTAGGGAGTGGCCCTAAAAGGGGTATTTATGTGGGATGGAACAGGGAGAAAAGGAAATGAGTCTTGCCCAGAGTTTTGAAGAGTGTGAGAAAAGAGAGGAAGACAGGTCTTGTTTATGGAGGTATAGTTGGGAGTGCAGAATATGAATAGGGGGAATATGGCTTGATAAGGGGGGATTTTGATGCTGAGTAAGGGGGGAAGACATTCTTCTGAGGAGAGGTTTGCAGTGGATGGAACAGGGAGTGAGGAGTGTGGCATACTGAGTGTGGTTTGCAATAGTAAGATGATGAAGTGGATTCCATTATGGTTGCAGGGGCAGAGTTGTTCCCATTGAGGGAAATGGTTGTGAGGTGCAAGGAGGACAGAGCAGGGGCAGTGAAAAGAAGTATTTGGAGAACGGGGCTCATTGAAGAGTACATTCAAGCAATGGGGATATGGGCTTGCCATGGTTGAGGGTTGTGTGATGCAGAGGAGTGATAGAGGAGCAGGGCTTAATGTGGGGTGTATTAGAAGAATGAAGCTGGGTGTGATGGCGTAAGATGGACCAGGAAGGGTGTAGTCTGGTAGAAGGGGTAAGTGTTTGCTTGGAAGAGAGAGCCTATTGATGGGGAAATACGGTGGGGTTGGTCGGAAAATCAGGAGGATGGAAGGGGTCTGATGGAGAAATTGGCTTGGGTTTGGGTTGGGAAAGAGAACCAAAGGAGTAGTAATGCTATTGTGTTCTCTCTGTGTCTAAGCTTATCAAATGATTTACAAATATTATTGAATTAAGATGCAGACTTCATCCTTCTCCCTGGAATTGTTCCTCCTTCGCACATTGTACAGAGTGACTTCTGTATGAAATCATTTGTCATGTCAGAATCTAGAAGCACATATCCCAGTAATTGTAAACTTATATTCTGTTTAACTTATTTGAAACTATTTCTCTTTCTAGGCTTTTCTGATACGTTAAAATTCTCTTACTCTGAAGTAATAGTGCCAAGAAAGCTAGAACCAAGGGATGGCATAGACACCAAGGTAGTACTGCTTTCTAAGAATATTGGAATTGTTATGTTGACTCAGACTAATGATTCATGAATCCTGTCTTTGGTAACTGCCAGTACCAGATGCTTCAGTGGAAGTTGTCACCACCTCTATAATAAAGTATGTAGAGCAGAAAGTTTCTTCCTTATCCTGAGCAATTAGTGGTTTGGTTCTCTTTTGAAGCACAAGGGTTAATAATCTTTAATACAGTCTGTGCTTGCCTGTGTAACTGTGCTTGACATTTTTATGAGTGGAACTCAGTGTGCAGTAAGAACATTTATCATTTGACAATAGGTAAAACAAATTTTATGTTGTTTATTGCAAGGAACCAAGGAATTCAGAAGGTACTTATATGGCTCCCATTAACAAGGGATATAAGCACTACACAATGTTTAAAATGTTTATCCTCACAACACTCCTGTAAAGTAGTACCCTCTGTGCTGGCAACCCCCAATTTTAAAGAATAATCACGCCATCATAAGATTATTCTTGTCTGTATCTTCTGGTAGGGGGAAATAGCCCATTTGTCTGGGCTGGTTTTGAACCCCTGAGAAACTGTTCTGGCATTCTGACAGTATTGATAGTCTATCTTGAACTCGTCCTAGAGTACTAGGATTGGAAGTTCATGCTGTACATCCTTTGAAAGGTAATTTTGCTTGGTATGTGAGGTATAGAATTTGACCTATGTTGTCATAGTTTAGGGATTCTTAATGTATCTTTTCCTATTTGAAATATTCCACAAGACTTATGAGCACCAAGTAGTATAAGAGTCTAGAAGAATGCAAATTTATGACCCAAATGTTAACCAAGTGAGGCAAGTACTGGGTGAAACATTCTCCCTGTAACCCTGTAAAATAAAACAGACAAAAAGCCAAAAATGAACTGAGCACTTTAAACTGAATTTCAACCTTCTGTGTCCATGTTTGACTCCTGGGGAACAACTCCGTCCTAAGTTTCGACCTGGAATTGTAGCTCTGTGCTGTGGCTAAATGCCACAATATAGCCCTTATGATAAAACTGCAACCAGTAGTCTATGACTAAGATTGTGACTTAGGGCCAGAGTTTTGAAGGTGTTTGGGTGTTTAAATATTCAGATAGGCATCTAAATACCTTTCAAAAGACTTTGGACTAAGGGGCAAAATTTTAAACACAGCTCATCTAAAGAATGCCTGCATCATAGAACACCATAAGGAAGTATGGTGTTTTCTTTCTAAAAATCAGGTTTCCCTGACAGCCAGTCCTGACAGTGTGGGATTCATGCTCTACAGTTAACATACTATCTATGAGGTTGAGACACCTTTTTTGTGGAGCACGCATGCTATGCAAGTATAAATCACAATAACCACTGAAAAGGTGTTATCCTACAGGGCAATGTGCAGTTCTGAGCAGCTGTAAAGAAGAGGCTGCTGCCAAGTTAAGATAGTAAGAGCGTCAAACTCTGTTGGATTATTCCAAAATCGTTATTCAGCCTCAATTTGAGACTGCATAGTAGTACTAAAACAACAAGGAGTCTGGTGGCACCTTAAAGACTAACAGATTTATTTGGGCATAAGCTTTCGTGGGTAAAAACCTCACTTCTTCGGATGCATAGAGTGAAAGTTACAGATGCAGGCATTATATACTGACACATGGAGAGCAGGGAGTTACTTTGCAAGTGGAGAACCAGTGTTGACAGGGCCAATTCAATCAGGGTGGATGTAGTCCACTCCCAATAATAGATGAGGAGGTGTCAATTCCAGGAGAGGAAAAGCTGCTTCTGTAATGAGCCAGCCACTCCCAGTCGCTATTCAAGCCCAGATTAATGGTGTTAAATTTGCAAATGAATTTTAGTTCTGCTGTTTCTCTTTGAAGTCTGTTTCTGAAGTTTTTTTGTTCAATGATAGTGACTTTTAAATCTGTAATAGAATGACCAGGAAGATTGAAGTGTTCACTTACTGGCTTATGTATGTTACCATTCCTGATGTCCGATTTGTGTCCATTTATTCTTTTGTGGAGGGACTGTCCGGTTTGGCCAATGTACATGGCAGAGGGGCATTGCTTCACTCTATGCATCCGAAGAAGTGAGGTTTTTAGCCACGAAAGCTTATGCTCAAATAAATCTGTTAGTCTTTAAGGTGCCACCAGACTCCTTGTTGTTTTTGTAGATACAGACTAACACGGCTACCCCCTGATACTTGATATAGTAGTACTGTGGCAATGGTGTTTAGTGTCAGCTGTTAGGCTCTGTCTACGCTAGAGGCATTTTCTAAATATTTTGCTGACACTGATTGAGCTACACCAATTTTAGCAATACTGGGGAGCCTCATGTAAACAGCACTCCCAGGGCCACAGCCATTTTTCATGCTGTGGACTAGACTTGTTCTGAACAGGTTTAATTTACATGTTGTTAAATACTGTTGGCACCATGGGAGGCTGGTTTACATTGTTGATCCTAGTACTGCTAATGGTGATCCAGCTGGACCCGAATTGGCAACTTTGGGAAATATTTAGCAAACTTCACTGCTGTAGCAAGGCCTTAAATAAAAGAAGAAAAATCTCTGTACACCATCTAAGGAAATGTAGTGAATACAATTTTTATAAAATGGAATACTGTATAGGGATTGATTAGTCACAGTTTTAGAATACTATTGAATTATACTTTTTTATTTGAATGCTGTAGGAGAAGGTGTCTTATCTAATTAAAGTAGAAGGAAAGCTCCATATTGTTCACCTACTACAGAAGAAGTAAGTGACTGTTCTCTTCCAAACCTTTCATCTGCTCTTTTTTTAGAGAAATAGGTGTATATGGGGCTTTACATCAAGTATGAAGACAAAAGCTCCTGCCCCCAGAAGCTGTCAATCTAGATATTGAGAAATAACAGAAGTGGTAAAAAAGTAGAAGATGGGATGCAAGGAAAACTGCTTTTATAGGGGGCATTAGTTAGAGCAGTAATAATTAGGAAGGGACAAGCATCTCCGTACTTTAAAGTTAAGGCTACCTTTTCATTATAAACTTGATTTTACAAGCTTTCTAGCTTTGCCAAGAGCAAACCAATTCACATGAAACTCTACACCCATGTAACCTTATGCCAAGGAAGGATATTTCAGAAATGTTCAAGATACACTGGGCAATATAAATTAGCTATATGAGAACTCAGGAGGCTCTTCTTGGAGGTGGTCTCTGCATATCAGTACCAATAATATTTGTGCCTCCCTGTGCTGCTGAACTTTGGCAATCTTCTTGAAGAGAGGTGTTCACGGAGACCACACAATAACTACCTCCCAGAGGTAACATTCAGAGCTAATATTAGTAAATGTCATACAATCCCTTCTTGCATTGGCTTCTTCTTTTCGGCATGTACCTGCAGGTATTGGGGACCCTCATTCTGTTCCTGGAGAGAATTTCTTAATTTTTTTTTACCTGAAATCTGTCGGCTGATTCTAGTTATTGCAGTTTTAGAAAATGTATGTTTTTAGATAGTTCTTGCACTATTGCTCAGTTTAAATTCCTAGACCAACTGAGACTTGAGTTCCCGGCTCATTTCTGATGAGTAGAGCCCTGAGTGGATACAAAATTTATATCCGCGGACACAGATATCTGCGGCTATAAAGCAGATATCCATGGAGCTGCAGTGCTCTAGCAACAACAAGAGAGACCAGCAGGGCCATGGCCAGTGACCAGGCCAGGAACTGCAGTGGCAAAAGCAGCTGCATGTCGGGCCACTGCTTGCAGGAGCCAGCGCCCAGCCTGGGCAGCTCCGTCAGCATGGCTGTGCTGCCCTCAGCCCTGCCCACTGGGGTGGACACGAGGCTCACGGGCAGCTGTCCCTGGGAAAGTTAGTGCGTGCAAGCAGCTCACATGTTCCTTGACAGGAGTACCACATGACGGGACTCCTGTCCAGGAGCCACCCTGAGACCTAGCAAACTTGTAACAGCATTGTGCTGTTTGGAAGCATTGCATTTAGCTGCGCTTCTAGTCACAAGCTTACAACAGTGTTGCAGAATATACAGTTTTGGACAGATGAGCCATACTCTTATTAAATAGAAGGAAAACGGGGATGTAGAAGAAAAAAAGAAATAAGATGGGGAAGGAAAAGAACATACATGGGGGGAGAAGGGTTGAGAGACAAAATCTCACTATTGATATGGGGTTCTGGATTTAGTTGGAGCCAAAGAAGGTGGCAGTGTCATCTGGATCCCTCTCTCTAGTCCATTCTGATCAGGACAGCTCTTGGGATTAAAAGAAAGAAGGCCCGGGGTCTCAGGGCACAGAAGGGGTGGCAGCCGTGATAGTGAATTTCACTCCTTCCCCTTCTCTCAACTTTCAGTCAGCCATTGGCACAATAGCCCCTACATCAAGCCTTTTAAGAACCCTGAAAAAGGATGGGTGGAATAGCCCATCCCCTCATTACTTTGTCCACTAATTAGATCTAATTTATGACACCAATTTTGGTTTATTATTTTCTGGTTCCATACTTTTCTTGTTTACTAAGAAATCTTAACATTGTCTTTGAGTTATATCAGTGGGCCTTCTTGTTTAGACCAGAGGTTCTCAAACTGGGGGGTGGGCCCACCCTGGAGGTGCAGAATGTATTCTGGGGGGCATGAGAAGTTTTAGGGGAAAAAAACTTATTGCACACATTTTACCCACAGCAATGAATAACTAGCAAAGCTGATTCCTCCAGACATATCAGGTCTTCAGATGGCATTGTGCAGTTTGACAGATTTCTGTTAATCGCGCATAGTATTATACAAAGTAGATGACATCTGTATGTTAATCCATTTGCTACGATGCAAATTTAATTGCACGCATGGACCACAATCGCAGCTTTGCTTTTGCTCTTATTACAATGGATTGTTGGCTCATTCATGCAACAGAAAAACAAAGAAGCCAAAACTGAGTCTAGTGAAGCACCGCTGCTGCATATATCAGTATATGTACTCTGTATGTGTGTATGTGTGTGTGTGTGTGTGTTGGGAGGAGAATGTATACTACTACAGACACAATGATGGGAGGGTTGATCAAATAAGTTTGAGAACCACTGGTTTAGACTAAATCAGTCTTTCTTCCTTTTGCACCTTTTTTGATCAACATTTATTGATATTGGTTATTGTGACACTTTATTAACTTTTCCTCATTTTTTGCAGTTGAGCTCACAATTGGGGTAAATTTATAGGCCCAATTATTACAAAACCCTTGCAGGGGAGAAACAGAAGACTTTGACGTATTTGTCTAGCTCCAAGTTGGTGGAACACCTTATGTCCAGCTTTGGAGCCACACTGGAAGAAGCTGGATTTGTCTTTAGCATCTGTCAGTGCCAAGGGCTTCAAATTTGCCTGCTGTAAGGCATCTGCTGATGAGTGCAGATGGTGATGGTCCTTCAGTGCTGGAGACCTTGTCAGCACTGAAAGGGCTCCAAGTAAACATGCTCCTTTCAGTGCCATCTTTCTCTCAAATCCAGCATTTGTGGACAAATTCCTACGTTTCTCTAGCTATTCCCATTTTTAAAAATGTCTACAATAAGACAGAACTATCTAATGAGGTATTCATAGGTTTAATTAGGTAATGTGTGAGTGATGCCTAATAGATAAGGCACTACATTGGGATTCCATTCCCCTCTACCACTGGTCCATTGGGCAACACTGAATATGTCACTTCATCATCTTGTGCATTAGTTTCCCCATGTCTAAAATAGGTATAACGGCATCTCTGCATTAGGTACACTCAGATCAAGTTTTCAAGTTTCTCTTCACAACCATGAAAGCTAGGAATATTTTTGTAATTAATATATAGATTCTGGAGCACAGCTTTGTGGCAAAAAGCAAATTCTGCAGCAAATTCACTTCTGCAGAATGCACCGGGTCTTGACTATAGATTCACATAAGACCATTTAAGTGGCTAAATAAAGGTATTCCTGATATCAGGAATGGCAATATACAAAAACCTGTAGGAGAACACTTCAACCTCCCTGGCCACACAATAGCAGATGTTAAGGTAGCCATCTTACAGCAAAAAAACTTCAGGACCAGACTCCAAAGAGAAACTGCTGAGCTCCAGTTCATTTGCAAATTTGACACCATCAGATCAGGATTAAACAAAGACTGTGAAGGGCTATCCAACTACAGAAGCAGTTTCTCCTCCCTTGGTGTTCACACCTTAACTGCTAGCAGAGCAACTCACCGTCCCTGATTGAACTAACCTCGTTATCTCCATACTGATTTATACCTGCCTCTGGTAATTTCCATTACTTGCATCTGAAGAAGTGAAGTTCTTACCCACGAAAGCTTATGCTCCCAATACTTCTGTTAGTCTTAAAGGTGCCACAGGACCCTCTGTTGCTATTGTTAACCCCAAAAATATGGAGTATAGTTGTTTGGCCAGCTTAGCCAAAGTTAGGCTAACAGTAGTTGCTGGGCCATTCCTGTCTCTCTGTGAAACCTAAGGGCATGCTTGCTTAAGCTGCAGGGAATAAAATAAAAGGTGGGGGCCGCATTCTTGTACCAAATGTACCAGGAACAATTTGTTTGAACAGATGAAGACTCGAAGTCCCCACTCCCTGTTTCTGTTTTTTATCTGTACGTCACTCCCTCTTTTCTCTCAGCCTCTAATACGTAACGAAAAAGCTGATAAGAAGCTGCTGAGGCATCATGAACTGTTTGTACTGTCAAAGAAAATAGATATGCATGAATATTAGAAGCTTTAACTAATAAGGGGGGGTTTGGGGTTTTAAGTTGCTTAACTATGACGCGACGGAACTGTCTATATAATCTCACTAGTTGTTGTAAAGGGTGTGCTGGTTCTCTCTGGAGACGGGCCGCTCTCTATTGTTGTGTGCACTCTTCAATAAAGAGCTTGTATTGGACCTTGCTGGTGTTGCCTGTCTCTCACTCTGCGGTCAGACAACGAACCTTGCCGTCTGGGTTAAAAAGTCCCCGACAAATTTGGCGACTCCGCCGGGACTCATCTGACTCTCCGGTGCGGGATCAGACTCTGAAGCAACGCAGCGCGCATCCTCTGGCTTCAAGAAGCCTTGCCCGGTAACCTGATCCCTGCATCGGCGATAAGGCGAGTCCTGTGAACCAGCTAAAGCCCGTAGAAACCCAGCAACGTCCGCCTACCCGTTGAGTAGGATCCAGGTCTTCGGGGTTAGAGTCCCTGGATAAGGTAAGCGATCGCCGAAGAGGGGTTAAAGTCCCCAGAAAGGGGTTAAAGTCCCCGGAGAAGGGTTAAAGTCCCCGGAAAGGGGTTAGAGTCCCCAAAGAGGGGTTAAAGTCCCCGGAAAAAGGGGTTAGAGTCCATACAGGCTAAATGGGACAATTTGGCAGTAAGTGCCCGGGGGACGCCCCGTTGTCTCTGGTACTTTGAGATTGAAAGGAAATCTCTGGAACAACCGGTTTGACTAAATCTAAAATGAGAAACTTATGCCAAATTCAATGGCCCTCCTTTACTACCCATTTGTCCCCGACTAAGGACTGGCCAAGGTGCGGAACTTTTTCTGCTGACAAAATGGATTCCCTCAGGGATACTCTGGTTAATCTTAGACCGGGACAAATAAATTATTTATTTGTATGGTATAACTATAAATCAAAAAAAAAAAAAAACTGCTTTCAGCCCCAGCTGGCTGTAAAAAAATATAGACAGAGGCAAACCAAAAACAATACAAGTTACAAGTGCTGAGATTACATTTGCAAAGCTTAACTGTCCAGTAAAATCCAACAGTCTGCCTTTAAGACCCTGGAGCTGGCATGGTTTGGGGACGCTGTAAAAAAGCCACAGGCAGCCGGCCTGGACTAAAATCTCTAAAAAAGACGCCGCAGAAGACCCCAGGGTGGACGGTTCAGCAAGAAAAGCAGGATCGGGCCCAAGCGGGCAGTCAACAGATAAATTAAAAAACAGGTTAAAAACTTTAAGGGCGTAGTGAAAGAAAAGGAGTAAGTAATTATAAGCATGGCGATTTCAAATCCCCAGGACAATAATTGGAATGGTAAAATCTGAGTTAATTGGGTGTCGTTTTAAAAAATAAGCAAGTAATTTAAAAAAAAAAAAAAAAAGTTAACTCTATAGTTGCTAAAGGGAATTAAGCAGTAAAACTTGGTAAAAATGTCTGTAAGTAATCCAGGCAAAAAGTTATTTAAGTGGAATTATTCGACTATAAATAATTTAGTCGAATTTGCTGAAGAACACTCCTGCTGTGTACAATCTGTATTTTATAAGTTTAAAATGAATTGGTATTGTTTAAAGTTGCAAAACCAAAAATACTTTTGCCAGGCACAAAAATGCTAGTGTTGTTTAAGGTATTTAGCATTTAATCCTTAAGGTGACTTAATGCTACAAGATTTAAAATGTTTTAAATAAAGACCAAAGGTTGTGGCTGCAGCAGGGTAGTCAAAGCCAGAAAAATAACAGATTTAAATTTGTTTTTGGGTAACAAAATAGCAAATAAAAAATCTGGTAAAAAAAAAGAAGGACAGTGCCCCTGGCTCTGTGTGGTCGAGCTGTCACTTTGCTGTGGGTGCATAAAAATTTTGTAAGCATAAAAGAAACAGTTACACCTTGTGTAAAAATTAATGTGGCTAGCATTGTAAAAATTAAATTGTGGAGAAAATGTGCATTTTCCCCAAAACATGTGCAGTGTATATTGTAGCAAAAGTAAAAAAAATGCAAACCTACCAATATAGGTTGTGTTGTCTTTTTCAAATCACTGTGTGTTTAAAAGCAGGAATTAAAAGTAAAAGGCAATCAAAAGTCTGAAAAAGTTAATTGTGTCCTTTTTTAAAGTAAAAATCTTTAAGCTGTGAATAGCTTTGGATCTGGAAGCAAGCCAAAAAGCATCTGTATTAATGCAAATTATCTAACTAATAAGGTAAAAGCCACTGAAACCTGGGCTGCCTATAAAACAAATACAAGGAAATATGGGGTAATTCCTCTGTTTTGCCTAAAATCAACAAAAGTATGTGTATATAAAGAAAATATTTTAAAAAAATAATGTCTTTCAAATCATCAGAGAAAACGGATGCCAGCTGAACAGCATTCAACGTACCATGCATTTACTGGTACAATAAAAATTATTTTTGTGTTTTTTGTCCTGTCTTGTGGTGTTTGTCTTGTGGCCAAAATTGTTGTATTTAATATTTTCATAAGACAGTCTAGCTCAAAAAGCAAATACTTGTTTTATTCAACTTGGAATATAAAGTGTTTGAATAAATCAAAAAAATGTAATATACTAAAGTCTAATACATTTGGTTAAGTAAAAAAAAAAAACTTCATTGGCCAGATTTTTTAATTAAAAAATTGTTGTTAAAATTTGCATACCTACAGTCTTTAAAAACAAGGACATAAAAGGTTAACCCACTCCCCATATTGCCCATGGAATCCTTCTGGCTACCTCAGATTTCTAGCCAGAGGGCTGGGAAGGAAGAAAAGCAATTGGACGCCAGAGGTTGTACCAAGTGGACTCCTCAAAAGTGGGTGTGCTTGTCCCAGTTTGTTGCTCCAAAGCTCTGTAATAAAGTTATTTTACTAAAAAAGTGTACATGGCATACCTTAAATAATAAAACTAATGTAAAAAAGTGTATAAATAAAAAATAAAAGTTTCCTTTGTAAATTAAAAAAAGCCAAAAAAAAAAAAAAAAAAAAGCACAAAATAAGTTAACTAAAAAAAAAATACAGCTAGCAGGCTCATCCAAGGTCACAGCCAAAACTTGGCTAACCCCCAAGAAAAGGGGGGGGGCTTAAATGTGCCCAAGCAACTAAAATCTGCAAAACACTGCCAGGCATTAATAAAATGTGTTAGGTTTTTTCACAAGTAAAAAAGCGCTCCCCAAAGGCCCTAGCACCCCTGCCATTAATTAAAACAAAAAAACTAAGTCTATATAAAGTTTATCAACAAAAGACTGCTTTTGGCTCCACACTGAAAAGGCCCTTTCCAAATCCTGTTAGCCACCAACACCGCTGTAAAGTGCCAAAAACTGACTGCCTGGACCCATGCTTCTCACTGTAAAAAGACCCCTCCACCTCGGGAGGGCTCTCCGACTGATAAGCCTATTTTTCCTTCTAGCCCTGCTGTGCCTTCTGGACAGCAGGAAAAAAAAACAAAGTAAAGTGCTAGTAACCTCTCCCTTGTCAACTGTGCCTTTTGAATTTTTCTAAAAAAAGCAAAACCATTACAGGGTAATGTGCTAGTAA